ACACTTTAAATTTGACCAAGAATTTCTCTGTTACGTTTTTTTGCATCTGAGTGTATCATACCTATTTTATATGTATTTTATAATGTAAATAAATATGTGAGAAGAAATTCAGGAGGTTCTTCATTTTTAAAAAATGAGAATATATAACATTTTTGGATGTCTTTAAAGTTAGTAGCTGCAAAATAATTGATAATAGCTGTAAAAATATAAAATATTACTTTAATAGAGCTGATAGAATTTAATAAAACTTACATAAGTAAAATACTTAAATAAGTTTTACAAACATTTTATATCAAATATTTAGTTTAAATCTTAGCCAAACTTACGAGTGAGCTTAATTGTCCCTTTTGAAAGCATTTCCATCAAGTCTAGAAAATTAAATCGACTTCTCCGAACTTTTACTTTAGTAGCAACAAGTTATACATTTGCGTTTATCTTCTATAAATAGAAAGTCGATTAGACCTTTAGGAAAAGTTTGTTAATATTTAATCTAGCATGAATCGAAACTACATCTATTAAAATAGTTAAATCTGCATCACTTCTGATAATTTTTGAGTCTTACAATTTTATTTCTTTAATTGTGTAATTTTTTGATTTGGCCTTTCATTAGAGAAATTTCAATATACATCTTAAAGCCATCTTCTTGCCAGTAAATAAATTTACCTAACAAACAAAAATGTTTTCAGACGTTTCAGAAGGTAACTTCCATCATCCCAAGCAAGAAACAGAAATAATTTTACTTTTTTTAATCTAATATATAAAATTCTCGTATTGCAGTTTTAGTTACCGCACTCCTCCGCAACGGCTTAAGATATTTTGAAATTTTATATGTATATTCATTGGGTCTGAGAATAGGTTGTTATCTATTTTTTATACCCATAAGTGATAAGGGTGGTCCACCCCATTTTTTTGACTTTTTAGGCAATTTTTTTCTATTTTTTTATGATGTGACAGTAAAAAATACATACAACCCTAAATTTTTACCCTTCTACCATTCTTCTTTTTTAAATTTGTTGTTACCAGACTCCTCCGAAACGGCTCGACCGATTTTAATGAAATTTTATATGTACAGGCAGTCCTCGATTTACGTCGTTTCGTGTTACGTCGTTTCGAGTTACGTCGTTTCGAGTTATATACGTCGAACATATTTTTGACACTATTCCTCAAAGTTACGTCCCACTGTTTCGAGTTACGTCATTTTTTGAAAAGACCGATCCAAATTTTGAAAGAAGTTTGGACATAAACAATACATTTTTAGCAGCATACAGCAGGGTTAACAGATCCTCATAATGAAAAAGCGGGGCAGGGTTGCTAATTATTTAATTAGCAACTATTACGAACTTTTGACAACACCCACAGTACAACTTCCAACCAGAAAAAAATAAATATCTACTTTATAAAAATATATCTACTTTATTCTCTGGTATTTCTGTGGTTGCATATAGTAAACTTACGTATTATATATGTATATTATACTATTATGGATAGTTAAAATAGTTTTATGAGTAGATAGACTGTAAAAATACTCGCCCTGATTTGTTTTTCATAAAAAAAATACTTTCTAAAATATAATTCATTTTTCGTATTTTTGGTTTTTTATGTTTTTCGTTTTTTTTTTGTTTTTTGTAATATAAGTTTAACTACATATTAATACAATACACTGTTTCTCATACCTCAATTATTTAAAAATACGTAAAATATTAATATATACAAACGCATATCTCTTTGTTTTATTCTATTTTTATCTTACAAAAGTACGTACAAACTTCTCCATTTTCTATAGAATCTTATGACAAAATAAGATTCGACTTACGTTATTTCGACTTAAAGCGCTATTTTGAAGAACCAAACCTGCCGTAAGTACGAGGACTGCCTGTATATTCAGTGTGTCTGTGAATAGGTTGTTATCTATTTTTTATACCCCTAAGTGATAAGAGTGGCCCACCCCAATTTCATTTACTTTTTGGACATTTTTTATTTTTATTTTTTTATGATATGGTATTAAAAAATAGATACAACCCTAAATGTTCACTCTTATACCATCAACCCCTATTTTTTAATAGCGATATTAGTAATTCAATAATTTTAATTTAACAATAAATTGTTTCAAAAAATTGTTGGAATGCCTTAAATTAAAAACCTGGTTATGATTGGGTATGTACCGGATATAATAGTATTTATCCAAATTCAATATACTATTAATTGACATTTTGGGTATATGTATACTGAATGAAAAACCTGGGTATTTACCCAAATTTCAATATACCGGGTACTTGGCCATCACTGACCTTAGCCACAGCAACTAAAGTTTTTATATTTTACATTTCTGTTTCAGTGGATAAATCCCAGGCTCGTTTCAAATTTTGAAATGAAACTTCTTTAAGCGCGTTGGTAGTAAAAATTCGAGGTCGTGACAAACGAGCTAACGAGACGGCCGTGACACATGAGCTAGTGCTAGAATGTAGAATGTTTAGGAGGGGAGTTAATCACCGCGACCTTATAGATCTATTGTGTGTTCCCCTTTCTTGAGTTATAACGAGTTATAACTCATCATACAGTCTCAGGGCTTTAACAAAAGCCAGTATTTGAGACGGCTCCACAGAGGCCAGCTCTCCATCCTCGACATCAGACGTACCAAGGTTCATGGCACGAATGGTCGTCGTCTCGGCGCACTCAGTGATAAGGTGTTCTGGTGTTTCCCCATTTTCCCCACAAAATCTGCATTCGCCGTTGTTTCTCAGTTTCAGCCTACTGAGGTGTTCGTTGAGGAGACAGTGTCCTGTTAGAAACCCTGTGACAATAATCCGAAGATTGTTTTTACTTAAATCAATCATAAGTTCTGAGGAACTTTTTCGAGTGTCTTAGACCGTTGGAGGACACCCATTCCAAGTTACGGATGGAGTCTTCCAGATTCTTCAGTTCCGCTTTTAGTTGGTTCCCGTTTGGAAAACAGAACAGTTCTGGTCCAATTAGTGGAGTGTTCGCTCCTTTTCTAGCTAGGTCATTTACTATTAAGCTAAAGAGCTAGTGCTAACGAAAAGTGATAACGGCTTAGAAATACGTAATGACACGACGAAACTATTTGTAACACCCAAAAAACTATTTTTTACGCGTAAAAAACTATTTGTTACAACCTAACTAAACATGTCCATCAATCCTTCAATTTAATGGCTGTTAATAAGAAGTTTCACTTCAGATATCCGCACGTAGTATATATTAGTATGCTTATCTAGGATTGGAAGTTTAGTAATAGTTAATAAAAAATATTTAGTCCAAATGTGTTAAGAGGGCCTTTATTTATAACAAAGTCTCGTATTAAATCAAGTACAATTTGCAAATTTCCCAGACCTACGTACGGTGGAATAAAAATATGAAAACCCTAACCTCGCAAACAAGCTTCGGAATATACGAGGAGCGGGCTCGTAAAGCAGTGTTAAAAATAGCCCCCGTAAAATGGAACGCCGCCGTATATCGCAGAATCCGCAGTTATGAAATACAAGACGCCGTAAATATTTAAGTATTATGTGCGCGGCACTCTTACTAATTTATTTTCCTTAGGTAGGGCATGTTTTCTCTTTTTTAGAGCCTTTTTATTAAGTATAATTTTAAAACACTTGTGCTGCTTGGCATGGTACCTTCTAGTTTTCAGCAAGATAAAATATTAATTCACCACAATATACGTCCAGTGTTTAATAGTAAAATGTGTTGGTGTATTGTGGTGAATTAGTGTTTTCTTTTACTGTTATAATACTATAAGATCCCTCAACAGGATTATTACGCTCATCGTATTTTTAATCAAAACCTAATTTTTACGTATACATACATACTGCCATTACTCGCTGACGAGTATTTAACACGCATCAGAAGATGGTCACGCAAGGCGTTTTCTTTCATGAGCTTTTCTGTGACTGAAAAGCCCGATACGTGATGTTATCTGCCTACCGCACTCCGAACATTCAAAAATCTCATTGCTTTGTTTCCTCTTTACTTTTTGGATGTCGCTGTTAGCTGAGTTAAGAGTTCTTCTCCATTGAGTTCTATTGTGAACTGCTTCTTCCTACTCATTCGGCATGTTAATCCCCTTTAAGTTTTCATGGAAAATGTCCTTGTATCTTTTGAGTTATCCAGCCGGCCTCCTCTTACTGATCATATAACTTATAACATATAACTTACTGATATTATCTTACTGATAAAGTCAGATGGCATCACCTGTGGAAAATCTTAAAGGAAGTGGGGGTACCGCAACACCTTATTTCACTTATCATCCAGTTGTATCAGCACACTATAGGATCAGTTAGAATACTGGATTCAGCTTCAAAGGAATTTTCCCTCGAACAAGGAGTCAGACAGGGGTGTTTATTGTCTCCTCAACTATTTAACATATACGGAGAATACATAATGAGAAGGTCGCTAGAAACTTGAGAAGGAGGCATTTCAATAAATGGCCAAAAAATAAATAATCTACGCTTTGCAGATGATACAGCACTACTCGCTAGCAGTCAAGAAGAGTTAATCAATTTAGTAAATAGGGTAGAAAACGAAAGCAATCGGCTCGGTCTGGAACTAAATACGCAAAAAAACAAAATCATGATAGTTGATAGG